AGGAGGGGCTGGGCAGTCACTGGATGGAACCCATTTGCATGGACAGCCCCACCTGTGGCAGAGGGTGGAGAAGAAAAGGAGGCCTGGGGCAGCCCAGCCCCACGGTGGGGACCAGGGGCTGTGTGCACCATGGCCTGGGCTCCTCTTCTCCTTGTGCTCCTCTCTCACTGCACGGGTAAGGAGAGTCCTCAGATATACAGGTATCCCCAAATTTCACTTCCTTCTGCTCATAATGCTGAGAAACTTTACCCTTGTCCCTGCCCAGCACCCTTGTCTGACTATGTCTTCAGGTTCCTTCTCCCAGCCTGTGCTGACTCAGCTGTCCTCCCTCTCTGCATCTCTGGAAACAATGGCCAGACTCACCTGAGCCCTGAGCAGTGGCATCGCTGTTGGCAATTGTCCCATACACTGGTGCCAACAGAAGCCATGGAGCCCTCCCTGGTATCGCCTGTACTGCTACTCAGACTCAGATAAGGACCAGGGCTCCAGGGCTGCGAGCCACTTCTCTGGATCCAAAGATGCCACGACCAATGCAGGCTTTTTGCTCACCTCTGGGCTCCAGCCTGAGGATGAGGCTATTAGCATCAGATCTGGCACAGTAGTGTTTTTCACAGTGATGCACACAGATGGGAATTTGGACAAAAACCTTGGCCTACTCAGAGTCTTGTTCCATGACAGTTTTTAAGTTTTAAAATAACTTGCATAAATACAAATTACATTTGGAAGTACTTCTGGTTCAAAATGGATCTACTTCCAATTTTCCATTAAATGTTTCTGAAGTATACAAAAAGAAAAAGAAAATAATTCATGATGACATTAAAATGTCACCTGGTTATTTATGTGTAATAAACCAGAGATTTTTTTTTTCTCTTGAAGTAAGGAAAATGAGTCTTTCCTACCTTTTCACTTCTTCAGAGCCCAGGGACCATCCAGACAGGTGGACCGACCTCCACAGCATGGACCCTGCTGTGTGAGGGGTCAGAGCAGAGCCCTCCCCACACTTCCAGGCTCCTGTGCTCAGAGCTGGCCAAGGCTGGCTGTGTCCCAGGCATGAGGCACTAAGATGGGAGGTGCTGCGTGAGGACACAGCCCTGGAGGGATTCTCGGTAGAGAGCTGGCCGGGAACCCTCACTGGGTACCTGAGCCTTCAGTTGTAAAGTCAGGGAGAAGGAGATTAGTCAAAGGGAAAATTTGGGGCTTGTATCCAGGAAACCTCTTTCCGGCTCATGAGAGGGTGGGAGATGCTCCACAATTGCTGGAAAATGCTGAGTCTGCTCCAGAGGAGGTGGGTGAAGCAGGTCCATGGATGAGACCCTACAGGTGGCACCACTCAGGACCCATGGGAAGGCCCATGAGTGGGTTTTCCTGAGCCCACAGGCACTGACTTCTCCCCTCCTCTCCTCTCATACCTCACTGGAGCTTTCCAACAACTCAGGGCATGGGGCGGGGCTGTGGACATGAGGAGCAGGGACTCCCCATTGTGTGCGTGTGACTCCTCCTGTGAAGCTCCTGATGGGCCCAGATCCAAGGTCAGCTTCTCCTGCACAGGGAGCAACAGAGACATGGGGGTCACCATGGCAATGGTACCACGGACTCCCATGCAGAGCCCCTACTTGTGTGACCTAGGACAGCAGTGAGGGACTTTCCAGGGGCTCCAGACTGATTCTCCAGATCCACATTTATTACTGGAACCTCTTTGACCACCTCTGGGCTCCAGCCTGAGGATGAGGCTGATCATCATTATTACAGGTCTGAATACAACCCCAATGCCACAAAGAGCTCGTGCTCCATGGGGAGCTGGAGACACTTATCCTTCAACGCAAACAGAATGACCGTGTTTCCAGAAACAAAATATCCTGCACAGTGGTTCGTTGTGAATGAAAAGGGGCGAAGTACAGCATCTGTGACCTGGGAGAACCAGGTGACCTGTGTGCATCTCCTGGGACCAGCCTGGGCGTATCTGATTATGTCCTCAGCTCTGCAACCTTAAAGAACCTGTACTTCTCACTGCCACCTGATCTCAGAGCTTTGTGGGCCTCCTGGTTCCCGGTTAATGGGCAATGCCTCCCCATTGAGGAGAACAGAACAAGAGACATTAGAGACATGGACAAATCAATGTCTCAGTTCCAAACCCTACAGATAGGACTTATGTAATCTATTGCCCTGGGCAGTGATGTCATTAAAAATCCATCTGCAAAAGTCAGCACCCTCTTCCAGGAGAGCAGGTGCGGTCAGAGGACATGGGTCCTGAGCTCAACAGCGGATGCTGTTGGACTGGTCCCGAGAGGACAATGTTCTGACCCAGGCCATCTAGGAAAATACTCTACTGGGTCTTGCACAATTGGGTAACAGTTGTCACATTGAAATGTTACTTTCTGCACCTGGGGCCCCCAGAAGCCACATGAGATCTTGTCTCTGACACACACTCCAATGTCTCATATTTCATCCTTTACACCTCATGGAGTCGTTGTTCTAGCCTATGATCAAGGAGGTGCAGATGCACGAATACACAGCAGGAACAAATTTGCATGAAGAAACGTGGCCTATGAGGCTCTCTGGGCACAGGACAAGAGGCACCTAGAGGTGTGGGAGTCACAGGTCCAACAAGTGAACCTGAGCAAGCAGAGCTCTGGGGCTTCACCACCAAGACGCAGATCTCCCCCTCGTCACCCTCCTCACTCACTGAACAAGGACTTTCATTAGGGAGAAAGTGAAGGATGATGGTGGGGCCACGTTTGCACTGCCTTTTACTCTTAACACCTGGGCACTGGGTTGTCCCATTCTTTCTACTACCTTCTCTCCCTAAATCCAGGGTCCAGAGTCAGACTGTGCTACACCTGCCATCATGCACAGTGTCTCGGTCTCTCGCGTGTGTGTGTGTACGTGTGTGTGTGTGCGCGAAATGAGTGAGGAAATGTCTTCTTTAATACAAAATCCAAGCCACAAGGCATCATGGCAGAGTTCTATCAAACACGTGTGAGCAGCTATTTCAAAGACAAAACAAAAGGCCTAATTTATTGATTCTAGAAACAAACGGGAAACCCCACCCAACAGAGACAGTATCAGATTTGAAAATTATAGGATAATATCATTTATGGACATTAATGCAAAAATGGCCCAACATATTAGTAGAATCCATGCTATATCGTGACAGAGTCCAGTCTCTGGGAGCTGGTGAATATGGATTTGGGAGGGAGAGCAGATATGAAGAGATTCTGAACCATATGTCAGTTGCCCCATTCAGGGAGGGAATTTCGGAGCTCTCAGTGGCGGTGCCCTGACACACAAAAGGAGAAAAAGATGGAGTTACTGCAGATGCTGCCATGGAACTCGTTGATCCTCTAGCCCACGATGAGCAGCCTGCATCAGCCTGGTCCTTCAGACAGAGAGAGCGCAGCCAAGGTAGAGCGCTTACCTGGGTCAAGCAGTATCACCAAGAGCCACCAGGGGGAGCTGCTCTCTGGTCCTCCCTGCACTGTGAGGCACCCCTGGGACATGGATTCCTCTCTGCCATATGCCACTTACCAATCCTCAATTCAATGCTGGCTCTGAATTGTCACTCAGATATTCCCCACAGAACAGAATTATTGTGAACCATGGCACCTTCAGAATTCAGAAAACCTGAGACGACTTACAAAGGTGGCTCAGCCTCCCTCCAGAGTTCAGGAAACCTTCCTGGCAATTATGACCTCTCAATTTATTCATGTAAAAAAATGCTTTAGCCCTTAAACTGTCATATTTTTAGAAAATATGTCTTGCCAGTCTACTTTTTTCTCATTTATTTCAGTGATATCATTTTCAAGATGCTTATGGAAAATGATGTTATTTATATGTTTAGACATTTTAATTATCTAATAATTTATTTTTATCTTAAAGATTTTCTCCTCAGTTCAAAATATGATACATATAAAATTATATCTATTTCTGTTCTGTGTCAGACACGAGTTTGGGTATTAGGCATAAAATAACATAGCATGAGTCATTTGGGCTGGTATAAGCTGATCCTCACAAACACACGTGATGAGAAAGGAAAGAACAGCCACGCACATTCTATTAGTCAGACAACATCCTAGAGATTTAGAAATGGATATCAAACCATGTTTTCATTTCACACTGTGATGAACACCAATTTGGGCGCTTCTCTTTACCAGCTGCTTGAGGAATTTTACCTTCCTGGGCCTTCCCTTTACCTCTCAGACCCCCTGCCCCTTCCCATTCCTTCTGCTCCACAGGAGACTAAGGGAGCAGGGGATTCAAACGCTCCATGATGGTCACACCCACTTGTTCAGGAGCAGGGTTATTGTTTTCCCTGATTATGAACACGTGGACTCCTATTTTGTTGGACATCATGTTGGGAGGAATTCCATAATTTCATGTCGATAATTTGACCTTTCCCCCTCAACATCTGCAGTTGCCTTGAAGCTACTCCATATAATTATGGTTCTTGGAGACATCCCAAGTCTGGCAGTGCAGCCCTAGGAGTCAGCACCCCAGCCCTGGTCAGCTCCACTGCAGCTACTGGGACAGGGTCCAGGACTGAGTCAGTGGGAGACCCCTGTCCCTTCACACCCCAGACATGGGCTCTGTGATTTCCCAGTGGACTCTGCTGGAGGGAGGAGTGACTCCCAGGGTCCTCCAAAGAAGACAAGAAGGGATTTCACTGAGGAAGGAAGAATCTTCCCAGGGATGGGAATGGATTTGAGATGAACAAGATGCTGGGACCAGAGGTGGAGAACACACCCATCTCGTCGCTCAGCCCTCAGGCTCTCAGAGAAGAAATTCTGGAGTCTATATCCCTGAGGGCACCAGGGATGCAGAGGAGCTGATGTGATGAAAGCCATCAACCCCCATCATTCAGTCTCTCAGTCAGAGTGCAGTCATTGGTCTGCGTGAGGTCCCAGCATCTGCGTCTTTCAAGATCTCCCCTAGGGACATCAGGGTGACACCAGGGCAGAAAGAGACAGGAAGCTGATTTGCATGAGCAACTTCTCCTCCTTATGGACCTGGGAGGCATGAAAAGGCCCCAAGGACACCACACTCCAGCCCAGGAGCCTGAGGAGGCGACGTCCTGTGAGTGTCCCCACCATGGCCTGGATGGTGCTTCTTCTCGGGCTCCTTGCTTACAGCTCAGGTAAGGTGAAGGGACCCTGCATCCTTGCGGGACACATAAAAGCATGGTCTCAGGGTGACCCTTGTCTCTCATAACAATACCTGTTTCTCTCCTGTTGGTTTTAGGGGCGGATTCTCAGTCTGTGGTGACCCAGGAGCCATCACTCTCAGTGTCTTCAGGAGGGACAGTCACACTCACCTGTGGCCTTAACTCTGGGTCAGTCTCTTCCAGTAACCACCCCAGCTGGCACCAGCAAACCCCAGGCCAGGCTCCCCGCACACTTATCTACTACACAAACACCCGTGCCTCTGGAGTCCCTAATCGCTTCTCTGGATCCATCTCCGGGAACAGAACCACCCTCACTATCACGGGGGCCCAGCGTGAGGACGAGGCCGACTATTACTGCGCTCTGTATACGGGTAGTTACACTGACACAGTGCTGTAAACCCACGGGGAAGTACAACCAAAACCTCCTCCTGTGCTCAGAATGGCTCAGCCCTTCAAGGCAGGAAAGGAAGTGAGAGGGTGGAGACGGTAACACCACCATGGCGGGGAGGCCCTTGGCGCCATCCTCCTATCCACTGGTCCATCGTCACATGCCTCCTCCAGCGTCTCCCAGGCTGTGTCCATCCCTCTAGGGTGACTCCTCCAAGACTTTCCTTCCTCTCTCCCTCTCTGCCTGTGATGATGGGAGGGGGACTCGGGTTCAAAATACATCAACCAACAGTGAGACTCGGAGACCCCACCACAACCTTTGAGACTCTTTTTATTCAAACAGCATTGACAGGCCTACTCTCATCCACTAACTTGATGGAGAACAAATTAATACTTAACATTTCTTCATAAACATACATAAGCTGGATCCATAGCACATTGCTGTTCTGCTCCGTAAGCCAGATGCCCATCGTCATTGCACAATGAAGACATGAAGGAAAAGAAGCATGTGGGACAGTTCAGTTTTTAATGCTGTCAGAGATAGTTGATGCTGTCCTAATAGCCATTTCTCACACTTTTCAGCTCCTGTGATTTGGGGCATCACTTAATTAATTATAACAGTCTTTTACCTTTTTATTAGTATAATTTAAAACTTCTGAAAACATTAACATATAGACTATGTGGTAGATTTTTAATAACTTATTGATTTGGGGAGTTACTTGCTTTGCTTTCTGAGAAATTGAACAGTCAATTTATACCAGTATCTTGGCTCACAGTAGGGTGCATGGCCCATGGATATTTGTGGTGACAGTTACCAGGTGTCAGCCCAGTGCCTCTGACATTATTTCCACCCAGAGCTGAAGTCTGACTAGGGAGCAGCAGGGGGCGCTGTGGGTCTCCCCAGGGTCTGCACTGTGGGTGTCCCTGCTGTGTAATCCCCCAAACTCCCCAGGGCTGGGGCATTGGTGCTTCCTGTGCTGAAGGGGACCCTGCAGCTGTGTCCCCTCTGAGCTGGGTGGAGTCTCCTGCTCACAGGACTGTGTAAGGACCCAGCAACTGCTTCCTCCCTGACCCCTACCATGGGGCAAATTATGAGTCTCACTCATCTTACCCCAATTCCCAAAAAGCACCCATCACTGGAAGGGAGTTGAAAAAGATCCTTTCTGTGATTTGGAAAAAACAAACAAAACTGGATTGAAAACCAGGCTCTTTCAGATAGAGGCTATGTACCATGGTCGTGCTGCTGAATTGCTCTGTGTGTTACTGTCATTGCCTAGACAGGTGCCATCAAGTCCCCCCCTCACCAGCCTGGAGGGAGGAGGACACAGGATGAAGAAGCAAGAGCAGCGAATGCAGATCTGGACACAGAACAGCATGAGAATGGTCAGTGCTGCCGCCAGCTCCAGGTCCCCTGAACCACCACTGAGCTCTCACGTCAGCCAGAGTCAGGGGTGGACTGAGGGGAAGCTGAGGGAGACACCAGGGCTTCCTGTGGTCAGCTGCACACAGGGCGTTGGACACGGTGGAGACAGCACTGAAGGAGCCTCTTTGAATGGAGAGGTGAGTGGAGTTTGGGCGTGTGTGCAGATACTGATGAGGGCCTCACACACCCGCTGTCTCCCAGAGGAATCCTGTTGGGGACAAGAACAGACGGATGTCAGCAGATCCCGCCGTCTGTGAGATACGGAATGGCACTGTCTCCTCCCAAACTGTGTCTTCAGTGCCCCGGGTGCCCAGCCCTGATCTGTGTGAGAAGGGGAGGGGTTGTTAGAGCAGGAAGGGCTGGCAGCTTCATAAGGACCATGAGTGTTACTTTTGAGGGAAGTGGAAATTCTGGGACCACATCAATGAGGTTTCATTTGGGATTCCCAGTTTCTCAGTGGTTAGGAAGAAGTAGAAGCTTGAATCAGATTTCCACTATAAATTATTTATTGCTTTTTCATAAATTCCTGTGAAAATGTCATCTAATCCTTACTGAGGTCCTGTTGTGGGCAAAAAGCAGCACTAAATAGTGGACAGGCTGTCTAACCATCTAACTTCACTACCAGCTTTGTGGTCAGAATAATTACCTTTTCCTCCAACTTACTGAGCTGGAAATCTAGGCTAGAGAGACGAAAACAAGGTGCTCAGGGTTATCCCACCAGTAATGACAAAACTAGGTCTTGATTAATCCGTAGTTGATGCCAAAGGCCATTTTAACCAGAACATAATTGCCTCTCACAAATACGTAATGAAAGTAAATCAATGAAATGAACGTTAATGAAAGTAAATCAATGTAATGTAAGTGACAGGAAAAATTCGAAATGTTTTACTACGTTGTCTGAGTGCTTATACTTAATCTTTCCGGCTGGGCTCATAAATCGTGAGTTATAGTCACCCAGCAATCACAGTCTGCAGGTGCTGTGGAAGGTTCTAGCCAGACCCAGTCAAGATGCTGCTGACTGAGGAGGCAGGAGCCATCACATGTCCCTCTTGCGGCGGCCTTGGCCAGCCTTCCAACGATGGTCAGGGAGAAAGGGTTTGAGAAGGTCCTTCCCCTGCACTCGTCTCCCAGGAGCCGGCCAGGAAGCATCTGGGGGCAGCAGAGGCGACACTGGGAGGAATGGCAGTGGGGGCTGAAGGCCCGCGGGGTCAGCACTGACCTGATCGCTGGGGGGGAAGGGCGAGTGGCCGCGTCAGGGGGCGACAACAGGCGGCCAGGGAGGGGCGACGCCCAAGGCGGCAGCGGGTCCGCAGGACTCTCTCACCGAGGTTCAGCGGCACGTTTGTGGGCGCGCAGGAGAGCCCAGCACAGGCGGAGCCAAGGGCAGGCGGCGGAGCCCAGCGGTGGACGGGCGGCGGAGCCCGGCAAGCAGAGCCGGCCCCGCCCCGAGGTCTCTTACCCAGCAGGCCCCGCCCCTGAGCGCCGCAGTCTAGACCCCCTGCATTGCTCCTCTCATTCTCAGACGCCTGAGGAGTCGCTGTGGTCGTGTCCGGAGGCCCCCAGCTGAGACGGCGCCAGGTGAGTTCCCAGGGGGCTGCGGGCGGGGCCCGGAGTGGGGGGCAGGCAGCGCGGGACAGGGGTTGCGGTGTGGCATCCCAGGGGGCGGGCGCTTCCCGCTGGGACCTCCATTCCCCACCCGCCATGTCTCCAGCAGGTCCCCGCTGCCCTCAGCCTTGCTGAGACCCAGCCTTCAGGTCGAGCGCCTTCAGGGGGCTGGGAGCAGGATTCCGCCCAGAGCAGTGTCGCAGAGGTCTGGGGTGAGGGGTGGTCCTGGGCCAGCTCTGAATACGGGGAGCTGGGATCCTAGAGGATACTGTGTAACTGAATTAATCAAGGAGCCTCTAAAGTTCTCCAGAACCAAATAGAATCCTGGGGCCCCTCTAGGGATGCAGATGCCACAGGTGGGGGTCGGCGGCCTCAGGATGAGTGACCACCCTTCGTGCAGCGCTGCAGTGTCCTTTGTGGGTGGAGGCTGCCATGGTGGGCTCTTGGAAAATCTCAGGACTCTCAGCGCCTCCAGTCTCCTATCCCCACCCTGCCAGCCAGAAGAGGGTGTCCCCTACCCTTGCTTCTCTCTACACTGCTCCTGGTTAAATTCCCCGGGGAGGAAAGAAAAACAAAAAACAACAAACTAATTCTCCAGGGAGAAATCTTGAGTCAAATTTGTGTTTAGGCTTCTCACTGCGAAATCTTTGATCATATTTTTCCTGGTGGACATCAATGGAGGGAGAGAAGGTACCTTGCCTTTGGGCAGGGGGCTTCAGGGAGCGCGGTGAGCAGGGTCGGGGGACACCCTACCTTTGCTGAGGCCCCTCTGCACAGCTTGTTGGCTTCCTCTCAGACCAGCAAGTTGGGGAGGCTCAGACCCCTGGAGGGGAGACAGATTGTGCCTCTCCTGATGCCCTGGACCCCCGTCCTATTGCTGGGGTCTCTGGAGTCCTGACCTTGACTGCTGGTCTGTGTCCCCACACGCCCACCCCAGGCTGCCTCCTTCTGTGAAGGTGCTGGGTCAGGCCAGGCTCTCAGGTACCTGAATGGCCCCATAGGCCGCTACAGCCCCGCTGCGGCTGTGGAGAGGAGGCTGCCCGTCCTGGCCTGGCTGCCCGACTACTCCGTGCAGTGGCTGAAGATGGACTTCATCCCTGGGCTCTCAGTCAGACTCATGGTCATTTCCCAGGCGCTGGCCTGTGCTGAGGTGGCCTGACTCCTGCCCCAGGTGACATGTCTGCACCTCCTGCTGGCCTCCTCCCCTCCCCAGGACCCAACCCTCCATGCCTCATCACCCACCCCCAAGAAGAGTAGAAATGCACAGTTTCCCCTCCAGACAGCAGAGCACCCAGGGGTCCAGCCCCATGGGAGCCAAGAAGCCTTGGATTACAGTCTAGAGCACGTGACTGCTTTTGGGTGGACGCAGACCCCTGTAACTGCTCTTCTCACACCTGTCACACTCAGTTACCAAGGCAGTTCTCGATGGTGTGATGGGGCCAGGGGGTGACTCACTGTAGCCTTAAGAACGCTTCCTCAGACTCGCAGACTCACATGTGAGCACGCAGGCCTTGTGCTCCCGCAGGTTTCACCCAAGGTCCCTGTAGGTACGGGTAGAAAAGAGGTCCCCTGATCACAGCAGGTCACACCCGTGGATGATAGAGGGTGAGCGGTTACCCTGCCTGTGTGCGCTGGTGTGCCCGAAGTACAAAGTGGACACTACAGAACAGTGTGCTCAGATGTCTACACCAGGGACACTGTGGGCATGCCGTGTGCCTCCTGGGGGCTCATCCCTTTCTCCCCAACAGTACAGCCTCTACTCTGCCTTCATGGGTGCTTTGTGTAGTTCTTCCTGGGAACCCCCAGGGATGTGATTCTGGGCCCCATGGCCATGATGTCCCTCCTGGTCTCCTGCTACGCCTTCCCTGAGCCCACCTGTGCTGTGCTGCGGGACTTCCTGTGGGCTGCGTGCAGTGAGCCCTGGGGCTCCTGCCCTTCGTGAGACTCTGGGGCCTTCCTGCTGTGGTGCGGGCTGGAGTTCTGCTCTTCCTGGGGTCCTGAGGCCCCTGCCTCCTGGGGATGCCCCTGCCCTCAGCATTTCCTTCTTTGCATTCCAAGAGCTGTCCCTGTGTGTGTGTAGCGGGGGGAGGGAGGACCCTCAGCCTCAGCCCTCCCCTATTCTGCTGAGAGGCCAGGACACTTGGAGAAGCGTCCAGAGCCTCAGACCCCGGCCTCCCTTTCCTGCTCTCCAGACCAGCCCAAACAGGGAGTGTCATTCCAGTCCTCGGCCCCAGTGCCATCCACACCGCCTCTCCCAGCCGTGTCCACCCATGTCCTCTGGGACCAGGCAGAGCTGTGATATTTGATATTCCCTCTTGCCC